CATATTTGATAATAAAAAATTATATATCAGTTAAAGTTTAACTATAATTTTACGCATGCTATAATTTTTTAACATGTGGCAAATGACAGGAATATTAAAATGTTTACAATAAAGTAAAATAAATAACAGTTTAATAAATATTTTGATTGAGGAAGAATACTTCACTGGAAATAGAATGCGATATATGAAATAGTGCTTATTACATATAGCTTTAGGCGTGTATAATAATAATAAATAGTACTCAATTTAAAGCTCATTATCAAAAATAAGGTTACTTATATAGTTTATTTAAAAACTATGTAAAATGATAATATAAGTGTGATCACTTGACTATCGTTAGATAAGCATTCTTATTAAAAAATCTTCATGGCATGGCTATGTTGAATTTGCGTGTATGCCGATGAAGAAATACTCGTCAAGATTACAGTGTAAGATTTAAGTTAAATGAAATACAATGCGGTTAAAATTTTGAAATTTTATGCTATCAGAATTTCTATAGCTATTGAATAAAATAGTAAAAACGTATACTCACATCAAGCGGGTGGTGCAGTAGAGCTTTTTTCAAGACACAAATCCTCACCAATATCTACAAGTTTATTTAAATGAATGCTCACTTCAATTAAAAAGAGTGATGCTGAGACAGAAACAAGCATATATAGGTAATCTGCTGGATTATGAGGTGGTGTATAATATGGCTGAAATGTGTCCGATATTTGGCATTTTACATAATCTAAGTCTATAATTATATTATAAAAAATTTACAATTTAATCCACCCGTGTGAATAAAAAGTAAAAATGAGCCAATAATTAAATCAGCTATAACAAGTATAAAAATAACAAGTTCTTCTAATGCCTGAAATGTAGGCTTTGTTACGTCAACCAAGTCATCCCTACTCAAAAAATTAAAAAAATATTAGTAACTTAGAAACAATAAAATCTATGCGATCATCTGTGCAGCAAATAATAGGGCCCTTCAAAAAAGAATGGAGGGGCATTTGTCCAAACAATAGCAAGCATTTGCATGAATCACAGCGTCATAACTTAAAACAACACAAAATACAAAAAATATAAACAAATACATAAGCTTTTTAAGCAGTTATATAGGTTAAGCTAACTTTTTTTAATTTATAAAAGTTGTCTTAGTAGGCGTGCTATTTGAAATACTACAAAGGATTTAGGCTTGGCGCCACATTCTCTTGGAATGCTGTCCGGAAAGTTGAAAAACTTTCGTAAGGAAATAGAAGATGTTAAAAATGGAAAAGAGACAAGTGTTGAAGCTATTCGAAAAGATTTAGTTATCATCCCGGATATAGCTGATTTAGGTACATCTTAATTTATCTACAGATGCACTAGCATGTCTTCAAAACCTAAAGTCGCTTACGCTTTCACATAACAAGATTATGGGTTTGCTCATATTTTATAACCATTAGAAATACCCGACGAGATAGCTACACTTCAGTCACTTGAACATTTAAATTTATTTAACAATTCACTGACTGTAAGCATACCTATAACATTATGATATAAATAGGTGATATCACCGAGAATTGTGGAGCTCTTATATCTCAGATCCTTAAACCTAGGGTATTTTTTTGTATTAACAATGTATTCAGAATGAACAAGCTTAACACACTCCCCAGAGGATTTGGAGCTTTTCCTCTGCTCGAAATACTCGACCTTACGTACAACAATCTCAACGAGAATAGCCTGCCGGAAAATTTTTTCAATCTTATTACACTTAGAGCTCTTTATGTGTCAGATAATGATTTTGAAAAAATTCCTAGTGGCATAGGCCGATTAATTAATCTAGAAATTGTAAGTTCTTATTGTACTACTTAGTAAATTTTAGTTGGCATTTAGAGATAATGATCTTCTTTATCTTCCGCCGGAGATAGGGAATCTTATGAGACTTAAAGAATTGCATCTCCAAGGGAATCGTCTCACTGTGCTACCACCAGAGTTGGGATCTCTTGACTTATGTGGACCAAAACAAGTTGCAAAACTTTCTGGAAATTTGTGGGTTTCTCTTATTGCCAGTCAATTAGAAGTTGGGTTGTCCCACGTTTTCGATTATATAAGATCAGAGTCCTATAGATTGTAAGTACTAAATATTTTCCATCTTGCTTTCATAATTGCACGATAATCATGCATTTCCAGACGTACTACGATCTTAGTTTTAATATGATTTTTTTATATTGAGGAGTTATCAGCAAGTGACATGCCAGAAACATCCGAAAGTTTTCCCTGTTTTAACTATTGCTCCTGACTTATTTATAGTAGTGACCATGTATTATATTTAAGCATTACAATTTTTTGTATTAATACTGCCAAATTTAAAATAAACTTAATTAACATAATGGATAAAAATGTATCTAGATTTCCCAGTGACATCAAACCAAGCTGCGAATAAGCGAAGGATCACACTATCTTGGTCTTCATATCTATGATCAAACTATTTTGTTATTCTTAACTCTATCCTAGATGTAATTGCACACAAACCCTCAATTGACCCACATTTTTATGGGTGGCTGAGATTAAGCATACCATTATAAATAACATTGGCTTTAGCTAATGAAGACATTAACTGTGAAGAGCGATGAAGACCATTATTTTCAACTAAAAAAAGACTGGATTCTTATATTTCATAATTTTCCTTGCATGTTTTCTCTCTTTTTAACCTCTTAGATTATCCGTAACGATTTATTTCGATGGTAGTTAAAAGTCTTCTTCCACCTAGGCAATTTTCATACGTCTCCAAATCGAGGAATAGATTGGTTACGAACGCCTGTACCAAATATCTCATTTAGTCTGGTCATCCTGTATAAAATAAAGAATATTTTATGACGAGAAAAGCAACCTCATTTACTCTACCTTATTTTAAGTTTCCTATATCTTGGTTAGAAATTTTTTTCATGCATAAAGACGTGTGTGTTTATCGAATAAGTCTTGTCTGTAAATTCTTTGAGCGAGGATTGTGCATAACTGTTTTATTATTCTATTGCTGTAATTATTAGAGATTGCTTCTCATTGGCTCTCCTTTTTCTCTGTTTCGTTTTGCTTGCATATTGGTGTTGCTGAGTTGATTCTGTTTGATGAAGATTTTCGTAGGTCGATCTTATCGGAAGACTGACGGACCCCTTTAGGCGTTTATACTAAATCTTCGAGACGCTCTCCGGCTCTAGTCAAGACCTGACCAACGTCAGTTTCACAAATGCTATATTAAGGGACTGATCTAAGACTAATTATTCTTATAATATAACTTATACATGTTACTATTATAATGATTATATCT